AGGCAGTAGGAGCTCTGTGAGTTTGAGGCCAGCCTGGTCTACAGAGTCAGTTCCTGGACAGCCAGAGCTACACAGAGAAACCCTGTCTGGAAAAAACAAAAGAGAACAAATATTTTTTCATTGCTACTTCATAACTGTAACGTTGCTACTGTTATGAATCATAGTGTAAATATCTGATATGCAGGATATCACAGACCCCCTGTGAAATGCTCATTCAATCCCCCCCCTCCCCACATATTTGGAATCACTGACTTAAGAGCTCCACTTTTGGGTGTGTCTATAAGGGCATTTCTAGGATAGAGTAACTGTGTTGGAGAGATGGCTCAGAGGTTAAGAGTTATGGCAGAAGAATCAAGTTCAGGTCCTAGGACACACAGTGGCTCACAAACATCTGTAACTCCAGTTCCAGAGGCTCTGACGCCTTCTTCAGGCCTTCACAGACACCAGGCATTTGTATGATACACAGACATACATGAAGGCAAAACACCCATGCATACTAAATAATAATAAAATGTTAAAAATAATAGAGATAAAATTAATAATGGTGATAATAAAAAATAATCTATAATAAAATTTTATAAACAAATGTTCCTGGTACAATATCTGCTCCCAAGATATCTGTGATAAAAGAAAGGAAGGCACCAAGCAAAGAAAGGCCAGTCAATAGACCAGTAGACAGAGCAACAGATGCTTGCCTAACAAAGTATTGATTCCTGGAAGGCCAGCCATCCATTTTCCACTTTTTATGTCGAATTTATTGGTCTGGGAGATACAAAATGTTAGATTTTTATTTACAGGTGTGACACAGTGTGGAAAACTTTTTGCTATCTTCTAAGTTCCCAGCCTAAGAACTGATTATTCTGACTTATTGACCTTCTGGTATTACTAGCAATCCCTCTTTCTGACTAATTGCTAACGACATCTGTTTCCTTGCAATTAGTGACTTTCGCTGCAATCTCCTCTGGAACATTTTTCATGATAGCTGCCTAGTAACCCATTGACGTAAGAACCCACTCACTCTTTCCCATTGCCTGTGTCTACCCTGTTTATTCCCCTAAGAAATGAGACTTGATCAGAATCCTGTCTTGTCTCCATCTTTTCTGTCTCTTGTCCCTTTCAATACTTACTCCCCCACCTAGGATCTCCATTAACTAACCCGCAGGTCGGGGCAACACATGACATGTCAGCCACATCTCACCGTGTTTAGTGAGACATGGCACAGGTAAATCATGAACCCAATTCTTTATCTTATATAAGACTAGATAGACACGGAACGCTGAAACTACAGATAGCATTTCAATATCAAAACATTCACTAAGGCTGCGTGCAATTTTTTAAATGTTAAACAGAAATATCAACTTGGAATCACTTTGATCATTGCAATAGTTTGATCTTTTAATAAAAATTTTCAGAGTTTTAATAGAAATATGTATAAATTACTAAAACGATTTAAATTTAAACAGTTTTTACATTCACTTAATGCTTTTGATGTAAATATTTCAAATTTTGTTCATTTTTTCCCCCCAAGACAGGATTTCTTTGTGTAACAGCCCTGGCTATCCTGGAACTCACTCATAGACCAGGCTGGCTTCAACTCACAGAGATCTGCCTGCCTCTGCCTCTGCCCCTGCCTTTGCCTCTGCCTCCTGTGTGCTGGGATTAAAGGTGTGTGATACCATCACCCAGCATTTTGTTCAATTTTTATGCCATAATCTTTTAAGTATTCTCTAGGCTAAAATAACAAATTATGTGAAATTCTTCATAAGTAGTGATTTTGCTGAAATAAAGGAAAGAAAATTAATTTATGGCATAGACACAAATATATGAACTATTTTTGCTAACATACTGTATAAAACACATGGGCTGTAGAAAGCATTGCTGCCCACCCCATGCCTGTGACCTAGAGCACCAAATGTCTTCTGCTCCTTATTAGTCTATCCACTGTAGTCAACACTGTGCTACATTTTAGCCATAGAGAAGCCAGAGCTTTCATGTAATCTCTGTTGACATGCAACTCAGGAAGAGGACAAGAGGCATCTCCCTTTCCTCGCCCTGTTTCTACCCCAGATACATTTACACAAGTTTCTTGAAGACAACAACATATTGTTAATTCACCGGGCAGTAGTGGTCCAGGCCTTTAATCCCAGCACTCGGGAGGCAGAAGCAGGCGGATCTTTGTGAGTTTGAGGCCAGCCTGGTCTACAGAGCTAGTTCCGTGACAAGCTCCAAAGCGACAGAGAAACCTGTCTTTAAAAAACCAAACAAAAAGACAAAAAACAAAAAAACAAAACAAAACAAAACAAAACAAAACAAAACAAAAAAAACCCTCAAGTCTGTCAAGCAAAACACCTGAAAAATCTCATCCCATGGCAAGAGTATAAAAGGATGTGGTCCCTTTGAAAAAACAATTCCTCATTATCTATAAGGTTCAATTAAAATTATCATATGATTTAGCAATTTGAGTTTTAAATCTTTTTCTTCGTGATACAGTTTAAGACATACAAGGATTTATTCATAGTAAATCCCAGTCCCAGAAACAGACTAAATGGCAGTTCACAGTAGAATGGACACATGGCAATTGCTAGTGGTACAATGGAATAGTATTTAATAACGAGTGTAGCTGCTAAGGCGGCGTGGATGGCTCTGTAGCCACTGATGCTGCGTCGATGACTCTCACAGTCACTAGACCGAAGTCAGACAGGAAGCAGGAGTTAGACGCAAGGCAATGCTTTTTGTAGGGCTCCACTAAGTCCCAGAACCGAGGAAACTAGTCTGCAGTGGTTGAAATCAGAGCCCAGGGCCCTCTCACTGGGTTGCTGGGGGATCTGAAAAACTGGAAAGGAACACTAGGACTAGTCCAGAAACATGAAAATGCCCCAGCTCTTATTTGGGTGGTGTATGCAGTTGTTAAATACGATTAATATTGATTATTAATATTAACTAATTAATATTAATTAATATAATTGACCATATAAAATGTGTGGGCTTTAATGTGTAAAAAGTATATGTCAATTTTAAAGGCTTGTTTGTGCCACTGTCATGTAACCATGCTGCTAAGATTGTACATTTGTTTGCCCACCTTTTCAGTTCAAATCACGTCACATTATCTTACACACGCGCGCGCAACTATTTTTTGTATTCTACGCTAGCCTTGAACTTGCTATGCAGTCAAGGCTGGGGTTGAACTCCTGATCCTCCTGCCTCTGCCTCTGGAATTCTGGGACTACAGGACTGCACCACCCCACCTAGTCTTTCCTTTGTGTGTATATTAAGTTGACCTATATGAAATTACCAAATGTTCAATAGTTTTGGCCGATAAAAGTAAAACTTCTCCATGATCTAAACTAATAGGTTTTTAATGTTTGTGGATTATTTGCTTAGATTACATTTTCAGAGACAGGTGTTGAGCCAACACAAAAGTCTGTAGGTGAATACTCCTGCCTTCCATTACCTGTCATTTTAACAAATTGATAGTCTAGCCTTTTAAGTGTCTGGCTTGGACCTTACTTTTGATTATTTGCATTCTGTTTACACATTCCGCCGCCCTACTAAACGGCACGTTTAAAGGAGACAGCACTTAACTAACAACAAAACAAAGCAAAACACGCTAGTTACCGACCGCTCCAGGAGCACAGCTGTTAGGCCTCAAACTTGAGACAGACTGGCTGAGGGGTCTATTTAACATAAACATAACATAACAAAGCGGACCTGGCTGCCAGGTTCTCCCAGGATCCCTCAGTCCTCAGCTGTTACAGGGTCCTTCTGACTAACACACACCGATTCCTACCTTAAACTTCTCCAACCCAGGGCCTGGGCTACCCTTCTTCCAGATGCCCTTCCCTATATAATTCAACCATTTTGGGTACCTTTTTCCTCTACTCTTCACACTCCTGACTCTCCTCGGTCTCCACCCCACTCTCCACACTGGGCCTGGCTCAAGGTCACGTTCAGTCTGGACTCTCCCAGACGTCTCTGCCTCTGCCTCTGCTCTCCCTTTTATAAGTAATTACAGACCGTCTCCTCCACCAACCACACCTAGGAGCAGACCTATCCTTCCTTTTTTATTTCTTCTTCTTTTTTTTTTTAATTCAACAACAATTTCTTTTTCTCTCTCTCTCTCTCCTAGCATAGTGCCTTGTGTGTTTTACTCATTCATTCAACAAACCTTCAGTTTCACACAAACGACCAGTAACTGTAAAGTGCAACAATCTTTCAAAAAATCCTGAATCAAACATTACCTGTTTCAAGTATCCCAATAGTCTAATTTAACATTCACACCCCAGGTTTTACACTAGGACCCCCAAGTTTCCACGCTAGGACCTTCTAATGTTTATCAGTGCTCTAATCCAAAACAAAAAACTGTAGCCCTATGTGGCGGTGTATACCTTTAATGTCATCACTCAGGAAGCAAGATCAGCCTGAAGGTTACATAGGGAGACTTTGTCTCAAAACACGAAACTCTGAAAAGTTAGTAAGTGTATTTATTGACTCTGCAACTGTAGTTCCCTACGTTCTGTGAATAAGTTCTTAAAACGCAACACTAGAGAATTTGAGACCCGGGTAGTTAATTAAAATCTAAGCCAGTCGAGTGACCTAGGACTTTTTACAGGTCTGCGAAGGATAAAGGAGTCATTACTATTCTTTAAGGACAACCGCGTAATGAAAATGTAGATCGTTGCGGCAAAGAGCACAAAGTAATTTTCTGAGTGTCTCCACGGTAAACAATCGTGACGCTCAGCAGCGAAAAGTGGTTAAGACGCGCCTCAACCCTGTGCCAAAGAGGAGGTGACCGCAGGACACGGCAAGGGGGGCGAGGGGCGTGGCAACGCAGAGGCCGGCCCCGGAGAGGGTGTGGCTATGGGCAAGAACCGGGAAGGGGCGTGGTTCGGATGATCATATGAAGGGAATAGTAGTAAATGGCCCGGAGAGGGGCGGGGCAAGGGCGGGGCTAATCGAGCCCGCGTCTATGGGAGGGGGCGTGGCCACCGCGGACTACGGCGCCCGCCGCCCCCGCCCCGGCAGGAAAGGGCAGGTCTGCGCCGCGGCTCCCGCTCGCTCCCGCGGCGACTCGTGGTCGGGGCCGCGCGGGAGCGACATGCCTGCGCGCCCGGGCTTGTGACCCGCTCGGGGATGGACAGCGGCTCCGTGGCAGGCGAGCGGCCGAAGCGCACGCCGGGCCGTCAGCGGCTCCTGCCCTCCGGCTGCAGACTTCCTGCGCGCCCCGGCATCTCCCCGGTGCCCGGCGGACGAAGCTGGCTGAGGCCTCGCGGACGGGCCGCCCGCGCGTCCCCGCTGCTGCTCCTCCTGCTCGTGCCCTCCCCGCGCCTGGCCGCCACCGCCCCGCGTAGGACGCTGGCTGAGTGCACGCGCCCGGGGCACGCCGTCCCCGTGGCCGCGCTCGGCGCCGGCAGGAATGCGCAATGCCGTCTGTCGCTGGGCGCCGGGCGTGTGGCCGCGCTGGCGAGCAGCCGGAGAGGTGAGACAGGCGGGAGGACAGGTCACCCGGGTGGCAGGGATCTGCCTACGCCCGGGCGAAGGTTCGGAGCGCAGAGCCCGTGTGTCCGGGCACCCACTGACACGCATACTCGGGTCTTCCCCGATTCACCTGTTGGAGCCTCGGAGACGTGGGAAAAGTTCTGGATGCGGGTGCCTAGGCGTGCAGGTCCTAGAGGAGCAGATCCGGGAATGAAAGGATGGCCTTACGCTTTGATTTGATTCCAAACTGTATTGATTCTTTCATGGCGTCGCCCATTCTGTGGCTGGCACTTTACTAGCTGTTCGGGGTAATAGATCCACAAAATCACGCAAGACATACAGCATGTATGTGTGTTTTCTATATGTACTTGTCCATATTAACCTTATATGTAGTAATTTGACAAGTACTATAGAGAAAAACAGAGGCAGTATGTTTAGGAATTGAAGAGGATCTCCGTTTGTGAGTTTTAATTGGGTGACCAAAGTCTGATTCATTGAGGTGTCATTTAAATACTTGAAGGAAGGGGAGGAACATCACTGAACTGAGTAAGCTTTTGAAAGTAAACTAACTAGAATTTGCTCTCAGTAAGTAGCAGATAAAATCTAATCGTGCCGGCTAATCAGAAAATGTGGCATAATTACACCTTGGGTAACTCGTTTCTGTTCGATGAGTGTTGCCGGCATCTAAAATTTAAGAATACCTGTGACTAGGGGAGAAATGGATAGTTATGAAAGGTGAAAGACGGTTTATACACAGACGGGAAATGAGCAGTGAACTTATATCAGCCCTGTAGGAAACAGGAGTTGGAGGTGGGTCTGGCATCTTATTTCCATACCTTGCCTTTCTATGTGCTATTTTGATTTGTTTTGTTTTGAGACGGGGTCAGAACTGTGTAGCCCTGGCTGGCCTTGGACATAAAGTGATCTCCTGCACCTCCCAAGTGCTGGGATTAAAGTCTAGGCTACCACACCCTGATTACTGTACAATTGACAAGCTGTTGCCTTCCTATCTGTTTGCTTCTTTAAATATACGAATTTAAATTTCTTATTGCATTAGCAAGATGGTCCCCTTTTAATGTCATTCTTCAGGCAGATATGAGGAGAGATGCATTTTCTAAGAAGGAGACAGCAGAGTCAGTAGGAGGGTTTCATGCCCATTTTTGTCCCTTTGTTCTGTGCCCAGGATTGGTTGGTTGGTTTTGTGCCTGAAGCCCTCAGTAGATAGATTCACTTCAGGATGCTGTGCCTTGAAAATTTGCAGTCTGTTTCTCGTCTGTTCAAGGTTAACTTTGAATTCCTTTTGTAATTAAGGGTTTTAACATCCTTGGGCTATGATGAAGATCTCCAGAAAGGAGAATTACATGTTACATTCTAGTACACCTCAAGTTACTGACTTCCTGCTGTGGTCCCCGGGAATTCAGAGCTGCTATGGTCCCCGCTGTTGTCATTTGACAGAGAGCAAGGAGCCTCCCCTCCCTCAGCAGGAGTGGAATGCCAGCTGAGAAGTGGCCAACCCTTTTCCCTACTTTTTAGAAGACAGCTTTCTTGAAATAAGCTTGCTATTTCTGGTTCCAGTTGTCTTGGGAAAAAAAAGAGGAAAAAAGCCATAAGTGTACAAATCCCTGCTAGCTCCTAATAGCAGCGGGAGTTTGGGGACCTAATTCAGTGGATAAAATACTCATGAGGAAGGACCAGAGTTCAGATCCCCAACCCACATAAATGCTGGGCTTGCACAGTGATCTGCCTGCCATTGCAGCACTCAGAAGGTGCCACTGGGGGCAATCTCTAGCCACAGCCATGAGTTCTGGGTTCATTTGAGAGAGCCTGCCTGGCTGAATAAGGTAGAGATTTAATCAAGAAAGATGCCAGAGATCAACCTCAGGCTTCTACAGGCAGACACACAGATGTTGCATATGCACCCGAACACATGTGTTCACATATGTGAACCAACTACCGTTCGGGTGCTGGGAATTGAGCGGCATTCTTTGAAAGAGCAGCCAGTGCCTGTAATTTCTCAGCCTTCTCTCCAGCCCTTTCTTGCTTGGCTTTGTTCTACTGTGTAGATATGGAAGAGTGAGGCTGGAGTTGATGTTGTAAGTCACAAGAGTTGCCTTCTCATTCAACACAAGGAATTGGCTGCCACACACTCTGGACTCGTGTTGTCAAGCATCTCAACCCGTGGAATGGTCCAGCAGAGGGCCAGATGAGTGAGGTGGTCTAGGAGGACCCCCAGAGGAGCCCTTTCATACATTCCACACTGTTTTTTAAAGCTAGGTCTGCTTTATGTTGGGCAGAACTTTTTTTGGGTGGGGGTGGGGTGCAGGGGGCAGAGCAGGGTCTCGTAACCCAGGCTGGTCTTAAACACCCCAATGTAGCCAGGGATGACCTTGAACTCCTGAACCTCCAGCCTCTTCCTGAATGCTAGGAATTCAGGTGTGCCCCACAACACTTAGTTTTCTGTGGTGTAGAACATTGAAACCAGGGCCTCCTGTGGACCAGGCAAGCGCTCAACTAAGCCTCACTTACTTGCTGTTATCTTAGCTGCCTCTAGTCCTGCCTCTAGATGGACGGTGATGGAAAAGGCCCAGTGTGATGTGAGTTCACTCATGAACAAGTAGACTAGCTAGTGTCATAATCTAGATCCTGGATGTTGTTATAGTTTAATTGCAAAGTATAAAATTGTTCCTGGCTTGCTGTATAGAAGGCCTTCTGATGGGATGCCAAAACTGAAAACAGTGAATCTGACTGCCTCTGGACCACGTGGGCTACTGGATGATGCAGATGTGGAAATACAGTAATAAGTGCTAGAGCCAAGCTTCCTGTGCTAGCTTGAGAACACGGGCAAAGGCACAATAAAGGCTGTTCTTTACCTGGGTGGAGGAAATAGACAAAGTTTATGTAAAAACATAAAAGCTGGGAACGGAAGCAGCCTCCTTAAAGCAGTAAGGGCTTGTTTTTACTCTCAGACGCAGAGGTCCTTGCATTTTATATTTTGTCAGGCAGCAAACATTGCTGATACAATTATCGTATCTTTTGTTCTTAACTCGCTGCTCACCGTGACTGACAACTACTTCTTCCCAAGTGGCCGGTCATGTGGGATGATTGCTGAAGGCCACAGAGAAACACCAGACCTGTGATATCTTGCCCACTCTACCTTAAAGGTTCAAGAGAGGTGGTTGAACAGCTTAAGTGTTTTTCTGGTCATGAGAAACCCTTTATCCCTGAGTTATTAAAGGATTCTTCTCCTACTCTCTCCATAGTAGCAGGCTGCCCTGCAGCCACACTGTGTGCCAGCGTTAGAAGAGCAAAGATAAATCTTTAGCAAGATTGTCGTGTGCCTAAAGGTCTGTAGCTTGAACAAAAACTCTTTATTTTAACTAGCCCTGTTTTTTTTGTCAAAATGACTCTTTTAATAAGAAACTTTTAGGTTTAAACACCTTTTCTTGACAAAATTAGATGGCTCAGCAGTCCCAGCACTTGCTGCATAAGCAAAAGACCCTGGATTCAAATCCCCAGCATTTGTGCCAAATGTCAGGGAAGGCTGCCTGCATCTTAACCTCGCTGCAGGGGGAGCTAAGATGGTCTCTGTGGTTAGCTCCCTGCCCATCTAGCCCCAGGCTCACTGAGAGACCTTGGCTCAGGGAGTAAGGCACGGAATGGTAGCAGGACATCAGACAGCCTCATCTGGGCTCTGGGCACCTAGTAGTGGCACAGTCCTGCACGCACGCGCGCGCACACACACACACACACACAATAGAAAGAATTGCTGGTGCCAGGTGGCAGAGGCATGAGGATCTCTGTGAGTTCAAGAGTTCAAAACCAACCTGATCTATATAGAAAGTTCCAGAAGAACCAGAAATAAATACATAGACTTTCTCCCCCTCCCCATGTTATTCTAACTTAAAAACAAAACTTTTAGTGATTGGTAAAGTACAAAAAGCCAGGTAAATGTCACAATGTGCTTGGCTTTCTGTATCAGATGGAGACCTTGAAATAACTTTACAGGATGGGTTGGATCCGTGATCTCAGGACCTGGAAGGCCAAAGCAGGGGGATCTTGAGTTCAGAGTCAACCTGGGCTACAAAGTGAAACAAAAAAAGGCAGGGAAAGGGAGGGGGCTGTCCCTAGAGTAGGAATTTAAGTGATAAAGAGTATCTTTAAAACCAGCGTAGGTGTGGTGAAGAAAGACTGAATTTTCCTTCCCAGATCAGGGTCCAGCCTTGTCCTTAGTTCTAGCCAGGATAATTAGATAAGAAAATGAAACACCTGGCGTCCAGGCTGGAGCGCAGAGTAAAGCTCTCCTTCCCGGATGCCATGGCCTTGGTTGTAAAAAACACTGGGGACGCCCTGAACTACTAGGAAAAGTCAAAGTCCACCAAGGCACCCGTGAGTCCAGAGTCAGGTGTATATATACACCACAGTGCACACTCTGAAAGTGAAACAGTTTGATTTGGGGACGTGACCTTAACTAACCCTTAGGGGTAAGTTTAGGAAAAGATCACAAAGCCCACACTCAGAGAATTGTAGAACATGATTGGAGCAAAGACCTAAATTAATAGAAAGAGGTCTCGTGTTTATTAATTTGAGTACTATATTACTAAGATAATCAATTCATAGAATGCAGTCCTCAAATATCTCAGGACCTCTTTTTTGCAAAAAATGGCATACTTATCCTAAAATTCATCTAGAATAGACCAACAATCAGGATAAAGAACACAGTCCACGTCCTGATGAGACAGATGTTCTGGGTAGATTAAACAGATGGAGAGTTCAGAGATAAACCTTCACACACAGCAGCTGACTTTCAACCAGCTTGACGAGACAGTGTCATAGAGAAGATGGGGCTGGCACAGCTAGATGTCTTTATGCAAAACAACGAGGCTACCTCATGCCATATGCAGCTCTTCCTGGATCGTAGGCCTCAATGTCAGAGCTAACATTGGAAACCTCTTAGAAGAAAACATGGCGCCCATCTTCGTACAGTTGGGTTAGCAATAGTCTCTTCCACATGGCATCAAACGTAGAAGCAGCAGAGGGGGGATAGATTATTTGGGCATCATCAAAATTGAACTTCTCAAAAGTTCAAAACAAAAAATATATAAAAAATAAATATTAAGAATGTAAAATTTAAAAATAAAAATATTAACTAACTAATAATTGGAGAAAGTATTTGAAAATAGTCTGATAAGAAACTTGTGTTTGGAATATGTGAAGAACTCTTCAGGTCAGTAATGGACTGAAATAGACAAAAAGGCTGGAGCGATGGCTCAATAGTCAGGAGCAAGCTGGGCATGGTAGCCCACGCCTTCAATCCCAGCACTTGGAAGGCAGAGGCAGGTGGATTTCTGTAAATTCGAGGCCAGGGTTCACAAAGCAAGTTCTAGGACAGCCAAGAGCTATACAAAGAAACTCTACTAAAAAAAAAAAAAAAAAAAAAAAAAAGCACTTGGGGTGGCTCACAACTGAGTTGTTCGTGACAGGGTCTCTATGTAGCTCTGGTTCTCATAGAACCCTGTGTATATCAGGCTTCAAACTCACAGAAATCCTCCAGCTTCAGCCTTCTGAGTGCTGGGATTAAAGGTGTGTGCCACCACACCTGTACAAATATGTTCTTATGTAGACAAAGGACTTGGATGGACATTTTCTTTGAGAGATGACCAGCACCGTTAGAGGGGAGAGCAGAGCAGTGATATTGCCTGTGCCCGCTAGGGTGGTTATAATTTACAGAGCAAACATCATAACAAGTGTTAGTGAGGATGTGCAGAAACTGGCAGCTTCCTTGGCTGTGAGTAAACAAGAAAATTGGTGATACCACTTAGGAAAAAATCTGGCAGTTTCTTAAAACAGCTACCATGTGACCCTGCAGTTCTACTCCCAGGGTCATTCGTGAGAGCCAGGACGTTCGCACAGCACACACCCTCCAGCTACCGAACGCATGAACAGTGTGGGCTAGCTCTGCAGTGGGAGACTCTCAGTGACACAGACACAGAGTGCTGGCTCGTTCTGCAGCGTGGATGACCGTTGACCATAACGCCAAGACCGCCCTGTGGGACTCCATACGTATGAAGCATACAGAGTAGGCGGACCGTAGGCCGGAAAATAGATTCCTGGTTATCTAAGGCGGTAATGGAGAGTGGGGGAGAGGGTTGAGTGTGGTGGCGCCAGCCTGAGATCCCAGGATGCGGGAGGCTGATGAGGCAGGAGAATCACTGTGAGTTCAAGGCCAGTCTGGGCCATGTAGTTTGATCTAGGTCAGTCTGGATTGCAGAGTGAGGCCCTGCTTGAGAGGTAGGGACAAGATGGAGGACTGGCTGACGGACACAGTTTCCCATCAGGATGGAGAAAGTTGACTTGGGGATGAGTGCACCACTCTTAATTATACAAGACACCAATGAATTTTATGTCTGAAATGGGTTACATCACATGTGTGGATTATGGCACTGTAAAAACAAGAAGGGTTTCTGAGGCATTGAAACATAACCTGTAGCTTCGAATGGCTTTTCTTTCTCATGGAGACTGATCTGGCTTCCTTTTTCTTCCCTTCTAGAGCTCAGCCTGTCTGCTGGGTGCCCGCAGCTGGAGCACAGAAAGGGGAACTTGCCCTCGTCTGTGAGTCGGAAGCTCTACTTTGACACCCACGCTTTGGTGTGCTTACTTGAAGCAAATGGTAAGCAGTCCGACTCCTGCCCGCCCTTGTTGCTGGATGGATCTTCCTTGGGTCAACACAGCTCTCAGTGACTTCTCAGACTTAGCTTCCTTTCCTGTATTTCTCTTTCGACTTCTCAGCCTTCAGAAAGCTTTTGGTTGCTGTTCTAATTTGATTTTTGTTGCTGTGATTAAGCACCATGACCAAAAGCAAGTTGGGGGAGAAAGGGGTTTATTTGGCTTACATGTTACAGTCCATCATCATTGAGGGAAGTGTGACTGGAACTCAGTAGGAACTAACTGGATAGAGAGAGAGAGAGATCTGTTCAGATTTCACGCCTGACTTTGCTCTGCTAAGCCATTGGTCCTGGGTTAGCCAATTCCATGTCCTGTGGGAGACCCTAACTTAAACAATAAAAATAAGGTGTGAATGATTGAGGATGACCCTCAGCCATCAACCCCTGACTCCCATACACATGTGCACACTCTCACACATAGACCAGAAAGGTTGCCGTGACACAAGCGCCAGTCATTAAAGTACACTTGGAACACAGGATATGATCTTATAATTAATATTCAGAGAAATATGCTGACTACAGTTCTTTATTATATGGCACATGCATCTCCAAAACCAGGTTTTGAGTTAACATAGAGTATGCCTTTGAAATATACATGTCCGTGTTTACTTCACTGAGTTTACCCAGTTGCACACATTTGCGCTAGGTGAGTGCTGTGGCCTCTGTTGGGCGGGCAGACACCCTGGTTTCTGGGTAGCTGGAGAAGCCCGCCTCCTCCGCTTCTGTGTGCCTGCTCACCTGTATGACCACATAAGAAGAATCCCAAGATCCCTTCGGGTATTAAGTGCACTAATGTACTTAGTGAGCTTTGGAAAAATGGCCAAACACTGTGTTATAGTTTGTTCAGCTTTTCTCATCGAATGAAACAGCAGGCATTTTCCACCCAAACGTCCTTCAGCCTCGAACTTAAGAGAAAACTAGAGATGAGATGGGGGACATATAAAGTCGTCTCGATAAGCAGATGTGTTCTACTTTGTTTGATTTGGAACCTGAGGACGGTGTTAGAGATTCCTGATGTGTTTCCTTCTGGTCAAGGTGGCAGACATGCCACAGCCTGTAGGTCCGTCTTTCCCACTGTATCATTCTTTCCTCTTTCTTCAGAATTCAGGCCTCCGCAGAAACGTGCGTGCTTCCTACACCTTTGTCTTTGCCTTTTCTCTTCTGAGTTCGGCTGTTTCTGTGTGCTTACCTAGGGTTTACCACTCAACAAGCGGAAATCATTGTGTCTGCGTTGGTCAAGATCACAGAGACCAACATGAATATCGTCTACAGCGATACGGTCACCAAGGTGCAGCAGGTAAATGCTGGCAGGGTGGGTTGGCACATTGGAAATCCGAAAGCAGGATATTACTTGTAATAAATACTCAAGCGGCTTCTTGGATGGTGTCCCATTGAAAAGTATATGGTAATTTTAACTCTAGTTCATAACAAAAGTACTTCAGGAAAGCCATGTAGTTAGTTATGGGATTATGTCAACGTGACGGTTCCAGGTAAGCTCACGTTGATGGCTGGAGATGTGGCCAGAGCTGTAGGTGACAGCTTCATGTTTCCGAGTGCAATCTCTCTCCTGCTGTGCTGTGACTCATTGCTTTTCTATGGATTAGTGTTCTCCTCCTCAGGTTCTCACTTTGGGGCAGAGGGCGCCCTTGCCAGTCCCACTCCGCCCCGCTGCTCTAGTTTGTTTGTAGCTGTCTTAGCAGGTAGAGATGTAAAGAAGTGGGGCTAGAGGCCGTGTTTATTTCTCTTTCTCTAGGAAATCACTCTTCAGCAGATAATGTCTAATATTGCTAATGTGAAGAAAGATATGGTGATCCTGGAGAAGAGTGAGTTTTCAGCCCTCCGAGCAGAAAATGAGGTAAAGCTGCTCAGCTACGCTAACATTCTCTCTGCTAAGGCGCTGAGCTGCACACACCTAGAAGGGCACAAGGAAATAGCTGAGTGACTATTCAGGGTTACACAGCTGAGCACATCAAGGTGAGAACTTTCCTAGCCCTGGAAACCCAGCCCAGACCCCTTCTCGTGCCTCCTCTCGAGAAGTGAACAACCCTGGCTGATTAACCCTCCATTGATTGTGCGCATTCTAGACTTCTGTGTGGTAGATGCATACAGTGTGCTGCATACCAGAACCTTGTGCTTTCATTGTCTATGCTGTTATATTAATATGTGCATCATCCTACTAGAGTAGGTATTAGGATTTTCCCCCAGTCTGGAAGGTTAGGAGTAGATCTATAGAATACCACTTTCCTACCAAAAAAAAGTAGATCAATAAATATTATTTCTTTTTAAGCCTTTTTATGTTTGCGGGTGTTTTCCCCACGTGTGTATCTGTGTGCTACTTGCATGCACTGCACACAGAAGCCAGGAGAAGGTGTCAGATCATCTGGAATTGGGATTTCAGATGGTTGTAAGCTGCTGTGTGGGTGCTGGGAATCAAACCTGGGTCCTCTATAAGAGCAACTAGGGTTCTTAACCACCAAGCCATCTCTCCAGCCCCAATTTTTTTACTGACTATGTGTACAATGCATGTGTATGCATGTGCATGTGTGAATTCCAGAGCATGCTTGTGGAGGTCAGAGGATGACCTTGCAGGGCTGGTTTTCTCCTTCCACCTTCAGGATTTGGGGACAGAATTCGGGCTGTCGGGCTTGCAAGACAAGTGCTTTACCCACCGAGCCATCCCACCAGCCCGCTTTCTGCCTCTTTTAAAGTGTAGTGTGTGGCTCAGGGAAGTGTTTCTTTGCACATGGCTTTTGTCTTCAGTCTCATTGAAGTCCTGTAAGGGAAAGTCACACAGTTCACTTTAAACTCAATTTGTTGAGGGCAGAATTGGGGGGGGGGGGGGAACCAAAGAAGAACTAAGAAGAAAATGGGGTCCCTGAGGACAAATATGTGTCACAGTTCCTCGCTTGATGTGACTGAAAAGGGGGTGCTGGGCTGGTTTCCCAGTTGCACGTGCATTGTAGGATGACTGTAAACCGGGCGTTCGTTTTAGTTGGTTGGGTTTGGGGATTTTTTTTTTTAACAGTCTTATTATATAGCCCAGACTGGTGTTCTACTCAGTATATAGCTAGACAGTCCTCAAATTCATTGCACAATCCTCCTGCCTCAGTGTCCCCAGTGCTAAGATTGGAGGCTGCACCTCCACAGCCAGCTCAGGGAGTTCTGTGTCCTGAGCATGGTCGCGTGTGGCAATGAAGGGCCTGGGGCACCTGTGCTTAGATGTCCGCTGTGACGTTTGTTCTGTGTTTGCCTCCTTACCTGTCACACGTCCCTGACTCCTTTCCCTTTACTCTGTTTTCAGAAAATAAAACTTGAACTCCACCAGTTAAAACAGCAAATGATGGTAAGTTCTCTTTCCTGCCCTCAAGCGTGTGTGTAATCCCATAATTCATGAATAGATAAAATGTCACAGGTACATCGTGTGTCTGGAGCATGCGATGCTGTGGAATTTGTGTAATATACTTCAAAGCACACATCAGGTGGTGTATCAGTTACCCTTGTCTGTGGCCACAGTCATTAAGAAAATTGTGTTGTAGAAGGGTGCGTTCTTCTTTCTTGAGATAGGGTCTCAGTGTGTGTAAAGTTACAGACCCCAGCTTTCCACCTCCCTCTGTGTCTCCTGAGTGCTGGGGTTCATAGCCTCTGCCACCACACCTGGCTGAGTCATTGTAAATCAGAACAGGGTCCCTGAGACCGTTCTAGAAGAGGGCGGCTTCATAGTCTTCCACGTGGGTTTAGATGGTTGCTCGCCCAGCAGCTGGTCACTTTGTAAAGTCGGAAAGAACGGTGGCATTAGAAAAGATGTTGGTGCATCTTAGCGAGAACGCTTAATGTAACCAGAGTTGACTATTTGTCCTTTGGTCTCAAAAATGGTCGGAGGAATTTTATTCAGATTCCAGTGAGGGAGGTTATAAGGCAAGTCTTGAGGTTAAAATAGCTGAGCCCTCCCAGGCCGGTGGGGATTATCTGCGCAGATACCTGGGAGGGCCAGACACAGAGCTGACCTAAGAGTCCTGAGTCCCAGTCTCAAGGCCTCTGGCAGTCCCTGCTGGGCCCGCTCCTTGGGACAGACAGCAGGGAGTCGACGGTGTAAGCCCTCAGAAGGTTCAGATTTCATACGCTGGCTCATTCATTCCCTTTGTCCTCTGCCCTCTGCCCAGGATGAAGTACTCAAAGTCCGGACAGACACCAAATTAAACTTCAATCTAGAGAAGAGCAGAGTAAAAGAATTGGTACGTTCCTTTATGAAAGTAAATCACTGATTTATTTCTTTTTAGAATGAAATGCTTATTGAAGTCTTAGTCTTACAAGCAAGATACAAATATCATTAGACACTTGTCCATTTATCAGAGTTCACAACTTGATTTTAAATTTTAATTACGTCTTACATCAGATTTAAATTTGGTTTCAAAAGTAACATTTAAATTAAAAAGTTATTCAAATTGAATTTAAATCTTTTTGTTTCAAAGATAATAGATTTTGTGACATAGATGTTAGTGTTATGGTTTTGGTCCCTGGGCCCTTTAAGAGACAAGCCACGCCCACTCCCTCCCCCACCCACCGAGGCAGGCTGATCTTCAGCTTCTGGCCTGAGCTCCTCTCTTTCCCATCTTCCTCTCAGAGAGGCAGAGGCAGCTTCGCTTCTGCCCCTCTCTCTCTCTCTCTCTCTCTCTCTCTCTCTCTCTCTCTCTCTGTCCCCCCTTCACCCTTCCTCCTCCATAACCCCCTGAATAAATATTCAACCTCACTCTGCATGTCGTGTCTATGCATGTCTCTGACTCCTGCCCGCCCGCCTGCCATGTGTCTCCCTGCCTGGGACCAGCCACTGCTCAGGGACCAGCAGCCGTCTCTGTGAGCCCCAGTGTGTTTCAATGGATGTATGTTGGATTGCTCTGGCGGGTTTTTCTTTTTCATATTTTTAGCAGTTCTGAGACTCAGACTCTGGGCCTCCCACTTTCCCGTGTTGTACTGCGAAACCACAGGACCCCCATCCCACGCTCCTCCTGGGCTCTAATCCCCTCCACTCCCTGTTGACTTTTTATCCTGTCCAAATTCTCCCATCTTCTTGCTCCAGTCCCCTGCATTGGGAGCCCTTCTGTGGCCTCTGATAGCTCCCTTCTTTAGCTTGAGTGACACAGGAACGTAACTTCCTCGGGGCATAAGAAAGCTGGGGCACGTGGAGCATTTTTGCACTTAGTGAGAGCCGGATCCACGCATTGGGGCCCACGGAGCCCTTCATGCTCCTCACTTTTCAGTGGGTCTTCCGTCAGAGTGTGTCACAGTAGTGAATGAAGCTAGTACTGGAGCTCAGACCAGCCGGCCTACACTGCTGAAGCTGAGCTTTGTTATGCAAAGTAATTGCTGCGCCCTTTGGCTGTCTTTAAAATACCTTTGAGTCACTGTCTCCTGCACCTGGAGCCCTTTGTGGCCTCCCCACCACTAGGTTTTGCTGCAGTTCACTTGGTTTAGAAAGGCAACTGTGTGCTTGTGCATAACCAAGCTGGAAAGAAATATATCTCAGAGACTGGAGCTGCAGGGTGTGGATACAGATGAAAGCCTGTGAACGTATAGGATTTGCTGAGGGAGGAAGCCGGGCTTGGGTCTGTGAAGCGAATGAGAGCAAATGAAGGGTTTGGCATTCTTCTTGATGAGATTAAAATGCTAATTTCAAATTTAAATTAGGACTGAGGTTGTAACTCACTGGCTGAGCGAGCCCTTGGGTAGCATGTGCGATGCCCTGAGTTTGATACAGCCAACAAAAATTAGTTGTGGTGATATTACAGCCATTTCCATAGTAGTATAGAATACTGCTGTTCTGGAGTTCCAGGAGACAGGGCCACCAGAGCGTCATTTTAGTAAGTGTGACAGTGTCGAGATGTAGGCCTTCCTTATCTCTGGATTTGGTAATGCTGTGAGCTTAAAGGTGTACAGACCATCGGGCTCCACTCTGCCCTCTGGTGGTGATATGATGAATGGCACCCTTCCAGTTTATGTAACAGGGTCCCCGAGTCACCAGCCTGGTCCTTAGTTCGGGATTCCGGAGTTTGGGGATGCATTTTTATTCCTGACCACTGCCTTACTACATTCTGTTGCTCCAGGGGTTTGAATAGGACATTTTATAGTGAGAAATTTTGTAGGTACTCTAAGGCATTGCTATTTTTCCTGTTAGCAATGTTAGTTCTTGAAAATGTTCATTTAAACTACAGGATGCCATTTGCTCGATTAAATACTAATGCTCGTTATTATGGAAATATGTCTGATTTTTATTTTAATGTCAAAAGAGCCATAGTAAGTCTTTTTACTACCGTTAATAGATAAGGACCTTCAGAAACACTGGGCTGTGGCTTCCCACAGCAGGGTTCTTTGGTCACTGTTGTTAGGAAAGTTTGTGATGCTTTGCTGTATTTCTTGTTATGTATTCTATGTTAATGCTTTATAGCAATAGTATATCATGTTACGGGGTCATATTTCTTGAACAGTTTTTTCCTAATATTATGTTGTTCCTATAATTCCTCTGTCAGTAATGTCTCTCAGGCTTGTAGCTATTGGAGCGTCATTCCTAAATTAATATAGCAATAGTATATCATGTTACAGGGTCATATTTCTTGAACAGTTTTTTCCTAATATTATGTTGTTCCTATAATTCCTCTGTCAGTCATGTCTCTCAGGCTTGTAGCTATTGGAGCGTCATTCCTAAATTAAACTGACGCCCCCTCCTCTTTATTAGTCCTCTCAAACCCATCTAAATGGGACCCAAGCTATGCTGTTCTAACAGTGGGCAGGACCCAGCGATATCACAGTCAAGAAAGAGACAGAACGAGAAGCAGCAGAGAGAAGTGGAGGGGGCCACACATCAGCAGTGTCTTGGTTTCCTCTCTGTTGCTGGGGGAAACACTGCCACCAAAAGCAACTTGGGGAGGACAGGGTTTATTTCAGCTCACAACGTGTAGTCCCGCATTTAGGCAAGTCAGGGCAGAAACCTGGAGGCATGGAGGAGTGCTACTCACTGGCCTGTTCCCCACGGCTTTTTCAGCCAGCTTAGAGCCCCTGGACCGTCAGCATAGTGAGCTGGGCTCCCCACATCAAATCAAGAAGATGCTCTGAGATCAGTCTGGCGGGCAGTTTTTTTCAACTGAGGTTCCATCTTCCCAAATGACTCAAGTTGATATTAAAACAGCCGACACAGCCAGTGGATATAAGTAAGAAGGCTCAGAGAAAGCTGCGGGCTGCAGGGGTGCAGGGTGACGTCTCCTGTCAGATGTTCTGGGAAGCGGTGAGAACAAAAAGGTTGGGGCTGCAGAATGACTGTGGACCAGACTGTAACCCGTGCATGTTTGTTTCAGTACTCACTGAACGAGAAGAAGATGCTGCAGCTGAGGACAGAAATGGTGTCCCTGGTAAGGACCGGGGCCGACTTGACTGCTGTTCTGTTCATCTTTGCTTCTCCCCATGCATGGCTTTGGGGTTAACCATGTCTGATGTGTTGCAGGAAGATGTACACATTTACTGTGGGATCCTTTTTCATTGTGGCAAAATGTTTGCAAGAATTATCACTGAAAGAGGTTTAGTGCGTAATTCAATAGCATGTTTTGAAGATTTGCTTTATTTTTAATTGTGTGTCTGTCTGTCTGTATGGTGTCTGTCTGTCTGTGGGTGCAAGTGCCTGTAGAAGCCAGAGGAGGTCGTTAGATCCCTGGAGCTGGAGTTACAGGAAGTTGTAAGCTGTCCAACATGAGTGCTGGGAACAAACGCTAAGCCCCTGGAAAAACAACAAGTCCTCTTAACTACCGAGCCACGTCTCCATCCCCATTTATTCTGCAGAGTTGAAACTGTTTTTTCCTTGGGAGGGGTGCACAACTGTGCATGCTTCTGTAGGGTTCAGAGGTCAGTATCAAGTGTCTGCCTGAATAGCTCTTCTCCGCCGTTAGGTCTCTCACTGCAGCCAGAACTTGGTGGCTGGCTAGACTGGCTGGCCCGAGAGCTCCAGGGTTCACCTGTCCACCTCTCGGCCCTGGAGTCACAGGCACACACCTGAGCCATCTCTCCGGCCCCCAACCGTGTCCCATAAAGCCTAGTTCACTCCCTCTCCTCCCAGTCCCACAGTCTCCTTGCTGCTTTCTCTGGGTTTGTCCTCCAGCTGACCTGTGTCAGTGCAGCCAGAGCGTAGCTGTCTCCCATGGCTGGTGGGCTCCAGTGAGTACCGTTCCTCGGGTCCGTCATACCGCACATGGCACAGCTTCCGTCTTCGGACGGTGCTGTTCTGTCGTGGTCTCACAGCTCATTCTTTCTGTCACTCAGCTGCTGTGTGAAGTGTGACAAGCATGGATGCATAGATGTTTAGGGTTTTTTTTTTTTGTTTTTTTTTTTTTTTTGGCTTGGGTTATTTGGGATAAATACCCGGTAGTTGAAATACCATAAAACTTTCAAACTTAACAAAACAAAATCATGTTTCTGAATTAACGTTAAGTCTCAGTGATTGACAAATGACAAAATATAAGACACTATTTGTATTTTCAGTTTAAGGCATGAATTAATTGATGTGTGTGTGTTTCTGTATACATTACATACATGCATATATACATACATACTTACATACATGCATACATACCTTAGCAGTTGAGTGCCGCGAGTGTAGCTTACAAGGTAGATCCCTATAATAATATATATTGTGTTGCCTGGAACCTGTGCTGCAGGACCTTCATGGGATACAAGGGTCTTTCTCTGGAATGGCTTCATTTTCTTATTATTTATCCACATTGATGTTGTTAAAAAGCTACTTGGCAGGTGAATCTCTGTGAGCTTGAGACCAGCCTGGTCTGTAGGGTGAGTTCCAGAACTGTTGGCTACACAGAGAAACCCTGCCTTGGAAAACCAAAAAGAACCTTCTCATCCTTGGCCTTTTAGTAGAACTCTCTCGGTGTTTTCACGCATTAACACGACAGCCAGAGCCATTGTGCACTGGTGGTTAATGTGTGGTCTGGAGTTTTCTCACATTTGGAGAAGGACGAAAATTGTCCCCTGGTCGCTGAGCTGGATGGTAATAGAACACTTGACATTTGACCTGTGAGACAAGACAGCCTGAAAAGGCGTGGCTAGAAATAGTACTAAGTCAGCTCTGTTGCTGTGACCTAAGGCTGTGTTCGTCTCTCAGGGGAACTTCCGTGTCTACTGCAGGGCTAGACAGGGACTACCTAATCTGTCTCCTGCAGGGACTAGACAGGGACTACCATCACTACCTTCGAGAGCGGGTAGTGCAAAGCAGTCTGGTTCTCAACAACGTTGCCATATAGATTATTGTTCTCGATTCTCTCAATAGCTCTTCTGGAGACAAGACCAGTGGTGGGTTGTTGGTTTGTTCTGTTTTTAATCCCTTTTTCCAAACAGAGAAACCGAGACAGAGGATGTTAAGGGCCCTGAACAGTGCAGTGTGGCCAGAGGATGGCAGAGCCAAGACTAAAGCCAGCTCCAGCTCTCGATCCGGGACTGCACCATGCTGAGAAAGAGCTCTGGGTCAGAGCACGGGGCAAAGACCAGCACCCGCAGACTCTAATGTTCTCAACCTGTTTGCTTTCAAAGCACGCCCAGCAAGACAGAGCCCTGACCCAGACAGACAGGAAGATAGAAACCGAGGTGGCTGGCCTCAAGACTTTGCTGGAGGCGCACAAGCTCGACACGATCAAATACTTAGCAGGTGAGCTGCTTCACACCCAGGCATTTAAGACAGCTGGAAAGAATGAGCGAGCATCATAGACCAGTCAGGCGGGCAGCTGACGCCGGCTCTCCTGCTCTAACGTCCTTGTGTTGCAACACATCCTGCAGTTTCCAGTAGGTGGAGTAGCTCCTTTAATTTGCATTTTTCTTCCTTAGCAATAAAGGTACTTTATTATAGTATCTTTATGTGATACTATGCTAACCTTATAATGAGACCTTAAATTTGATAGGATGCTGTCCCCTATGATTTAGGGATTTCAGTGAAGCTCGGTATAGAAAATAGCTTATAAATAGAATGGAAGACCTTTGATTTTCTGACCATCTTACTCCGTTGGTGACACTTGGAGGGGAGTACCCATGTGTGCACCTGAAGAAGCCAGAGGAGGGCATGGCTTCCCTACTCTATCACTCTTCCTTGTTCCCTTGAGGCAGGGTCTCTCTCTGCACCTGGAGTTAAGCTGGCAGCCTGCAGTCCTGTATCTCCCCTCCCCACGCCCACCCACCCACACACAGCTATAGCGCAATTAATAAAACCCAGAGACAGAAATTGGGGTTCAACTGGAAGGTCAGAAAAGCAAGACAGGCCGGGCGGTGGTGGCGCACGCCTTTAATCCCAGCACTTGGGAGGCAGAGGCAGGTGGATTTCTGTGAGTTCGAGGCCAGCCTGGTCTACAAGAGCTAGTTCCAGGACAGGAACCAAAAGCTACGGAGAAACCCTGTCTCGAAAATCAAAAAAAAAAAAAAAAAAAAAAAAAAAAGAAAAGAAAAGAAAAGCCAGCCAATGACTCTTAACTCAGTCCAAAATGGCAATCCTGCCTCCAAGAATCTCAGAATGAGCCTGAGAGCTGTCTCCTCCCGTTTTATATTCTTCTCTAATGCTGGGATTTAAGGTGTGCACCACTACTGCCCGGTTTCTGTGGCAAACTAGTGTGGCTACTGGCTTTCAAGGTGTGTGTCACCACTGCCTGGTCTGTAAGGCTGATCATTGTGGCCGTTTTACTCTCTGAACTTCAGGCAAGCTTTATTTACCAAAATACAAATGAAATCTCCCTACCCACAGCCGGATTATGGGCATGCACAGCTGTCTAGCTGGATCCTAGAGATTCAGACTCAGGGTGCTCTCACGGAACCATCTCTAGCCCCAGGGCAATCCTGTAAACACGTTAGTTTTGCTTGTGTAATGTTTCAGCCAAAGAAGGAATATTTTGGGCATCAAAAAAAAAAAAAAAAAGAAATCACCAGGGGGTTGAAGAGATGGCTCAGTGCTTAACATCACTGCTCATGCGAAGGACCTGGGTTCAAGTCCCAGCACCCACATGGCAGCCCACAATCACCTCTAACTTCAGTCCCAGGGAATCTGATGCCTTCTGGTCTCCATGGGCACCAGGCATGCACACATTGCACATACACACATGCAGTCAAAACACTCATTCACATATGATAAAAAAAAATAAATAAAATTTTTTAAAAATCACAATTTCAAGTCAGTGCTACCATTTCAGATTAATTGAATATTTTAAAGTTATAGCAGCGTTTAGTAGTGAAATTTTGTTCCTTATTTGGAAGTGGATCACACACGTATATACACTTTGATCCCCAGTTGTGGTGATTCTTGCTGGCATTGGAAGGTCTTCCTGACCCCTGCACACGTCTGCACTGGGAAGATGCTGGTGCTGGTTGCCGGGTGGAGACGTGTTCTTTAACAGTGTTTCATGGATGGCGCCCTTTGGCACACTGTTTTCAGGTCTGGACTGGCGCAAGGAGAGGGAAGAAGTGCCTGTAGTCCCTGCCCTTCCTCACTCCGCCCTCTAACTGGCTCCTGGCACCTAAGAAAATCCCTGAGAGTGACTTCGGGGCTAACAGCTCTCTCGGTTGTTTCTCTTGCAGGGTCTGTGTTTACGTGCCTAACAGTAGCTCTGGGATTTTATCGCCTGTGGATATAATAAAGTGCCTATTTAAAGAAATTTCCATCGTTTTGCCTTAAGAGTACAAGATTGTTGTCACATCTACCCCATCCTACTTTTTGCTTCTTGTTTCAAGTTTTAATCCTAATTTGACTTCATGCATATTGCTTATTTCTGTGCAAACCGTGGATCCGTAACCAAGGTGACGAAGTCGGGATTTCTGTAATGCTTCTTCAGCACTCCCCTCTTTAGTTGACTTTCTGACCGAGCAGTGTGGACCACGTTTTCAAGACTCCATTCGACCAAAGCAGTGGACTTGGTCTAAACCTGCAGTATATGACAAAAATAAATACTGGTGTCGTCCTCGGCTGCTTTAAGTAGTTCGTAAGGTAGAGAACTCGGGAACTCATTTTGAAGACAAAATAGCTTTAAATCTGAAGAATCCTTGGAGTCCAACCCAGAATACCATCTCTTCTCCGCCTCTGAGCTGTGCTGGTGCACCTTAGGGGCCTTTGTTTTCATTGTCTTGGTGAAAATGCGGTGCTTGCTGTTGTTAATGCGCCTGCAGCTGGGAGTCCTGGTGCCTAACGCAGCTTTGTGATCCCAGCACAAGTTCTTCCACTGCTGCCAATCACGTGTTTCTGATATTGAGACAAGGGCTTGCCATCTAGCCCAGGCTGGCTTTGAACTCAGCCCCGCATCAGTGCCGCCATGCCTGGTCTCTGTCTTTCAGATGGCTAGCTTTCCCCCTCTTCATCCTCTTACTTTCCTTCACCATGTGGGAGCTCACCACACTCACGGCGTTACCTCCCTAGAAAACGCGGAATTCTTAGAATGAAACCCCGCTTCAGTTTGGGGTTTCGAGTAAACGTCCTTCTGGTTGTCCACCTTTTTTTTTTTTTTTAATAAAATGGCACACTGCACTTTCCCCCTGTGGGCTGTCTAGATGGTGTGCACAGTGCCCAGAATGAGTGTGCCTGTGCCTGTGCCAGCTCAGGCTGCCGCTCGCCCAGGGAGAGCCGCCACGCTTGCCATGCGCCTCACGTGTGTTGATTTCTTTGTGGCTGGAGATGACCTCACATCCACCTTTCCTCTGTCTTTAAAACAAACAGATCATGGTGCAGCAGGGTTTTTCTGGAGAAGCGCGTTCTCCTCTTATTTAAGGTATTGGCACACGGATGAGGGTGAGCATTTGGGAAGCGGCGACACCAAGGGACCCTTCCTGGCTTTCTCTCACGCAGGCACAAATGTACAAGCTGGTGCACAGTGTAGAAACCCCTAGAGACATCACCACTAGATGTGTGGAATAAATCAGCCCTTGTCACGGTTCCAACCACGTTGCTAAAAATAAAGGCTACCTTTTGTTCCTTGAATGTAATTTCCAAGTTTTAGAAATCATTAAGTTCTTGCCTCTTCAGAAAACATTTGTGTAAGAAGATTCTGAGCCCCACATATTATGGAAATCAAGTGCTTTTGTATTAGAAGAGTATCAGGGTGAAACAGAAGTTTATCCTTTTTAAGTAGAAAAAAAAAGGTCTTAACCACCCAATAAAACACTTTGTTGATGTATGCTCTCCCCTTTTCAAAAAAGAGTCCCCAAAGTCTTTCCGTCCAGCTGTCCCCATACACTCTGCAGGCCTCCGAGAATGCTTTCTCACAGTTAGTTAACCACAGCACAGCTTTGGAGAAAGGCCCCGAAGCCCAGATGCCCGTATCATCTCCTAGAGGAAAAAGCACGGTGTGCAGTTGTCTGTTTTCCCGCATCCTGATCAGGTATGCTAAGGATCACATCCTGTGTCTGCTTAAAGCATTCCGAAGCCTCCTGGTCTCTGCGGGCTGTGCTGATTTGCTCTAGAGTCCTTTATCGGACATTACAGTGCTGTTTGGCCTTAGAAACTGTGCTGTCATTGAGGGTGTGGGTGTCGTGCATATCTGAAACTTAGGAGCGTGCAGGACTATGCTCCCTTTATTTCCTAATAAAGTTGAAAAGCACTGAGCTATAAATAACTATGCATGTCCTCCCGTCGCTGCCTCGGACATACAGTGTGTGGGTGCCATGACCACACACTAACTGAACTTTCCTCGATGAGGCTTCAGAGCCCTTGGGAAATGTCTGGCAGGTTTCCAGATGGCAGACTTGGGTCGAGCCTGTGGGACATTTAGCAGTAGCTGCTAGGAGGGGAGGGGGATAGAACAGTCCGGTGGGCAGCGTGCTTCCCCCTCTTATTTCGGCTGAGGACTAAACCACAGGTCTTGAATATTCTATCCTGCCTCAGTCTCCCAAGTGCTGGGTTTATAAGCATTAGCGTGTCTGGCTCCCTCTGGCTTTTTTTTTTTTTTTTTTGCCACAAGTCCAATTTCACTCCTTCCCTGCATTTGTATGCAAAGCCCCTTTGGGGCTCTTTACTGGAGACATTTGCTTTGATTTCTGTACTGCTTTTCTTGTTTAAAATCTGGCAATATGATTTTCCCTTCAAGTGTGCCATGCACCCTAGTAAGTCACATTCAGGAACAAAGGCCTGACTCAAAGCCCAAGTCTTGCTGGAGTCTCTCAGATGGCTTTCAGCACCAGATCGTGAGCCACAGCAAGCCTGTGCTTGGCCTGACCTGTCTCCTGTCTTGGCCTGACCTGTCTCCCTCTGGTTTTCCTGTCCCTCCTTCCAAGCCTCTCTGCCTGCCTGCTAATTAACCCTGTCATTACTGTGAGCATTTCCGTCCCCCAACCCACCCGTCTGTGCTGTGTGCCAAAACTGGCAGAACCTACCCTAGAAAAATTTGGGACTTTAAGGTGTTCAAAATTGTTACAGCTTTTATGGCCCTAAGGCAAAACTGTGTTAACCGGGAATAATTTATTGTTTATGTATATAAGATATTTGCAAATGTTAAACCTTGTAGCAATTGTTCTCAGAAAATATCTTTTTACAGACTTGTACTTACATTCCTTCAGTGATAATCCAGATCATTTTGTAACCCTTTTAAGTACTTCAGCAAATATTCAATTATATTTTATTATTGTATGGAATGAATATATTTTATTAATTAAGCTAAAAGATTTATGTTTGTGTAGTTAATGTACCTTTCTGGTTCGAACTGTGTATGAAATAGAATATACCTTCTATCTGGAACAGTTGTATCTACACTCTTTTAATTCCGCCATTGCAAAATGATACCATCCAGTTGCCTCTAGTGAATTACAAGTAAATATAATACCTAAAAAAATTGGATTTACAGAGAAACTATATTTGAAAGTGAATGTCTGATTTGCAAAATAAATATTTATTTGAGAGAATTTTTAGCAACTCTGTGTAAAGTGTTTTAACTCCCTGCGTGAGGGGAAATGGTGCAGTGAACACCCGGGGTTAAGGTATCAGAGCTGTGGAAAAGCCGTGGTGCATTGCGGGGTTCGCTCCTCTGTACCTCACCTTTGTCCCTGATGGACAGAGTCTCAGACCCAGTGTAAACCACTGATTGCCTTCCCTGGGCAGTCACAGTGACCAGAGAGAGCGCACAGAGGATGGGAAAGCCACATAGAGTCGCTTTGAAGCAGTCGGGCTGGGGTATAGCAGGCTAATTCTCCGCCTTAGAAACTTCTTCCTGGGTGGGACTCTCCAGGCTGACCTTGAGTTGGGCATTCAAGGAAGTCTTTGGGAAGGTGGGGGAAATGGAATGTCAAGATAGCCAGAAAATTCTTGTTGAGCAAGACTCATTATTTTTTTCCACCCAGAAATCTTTCACCAAAGTTAAGACAATCAAAGAAACTAGATGTAGCCAGGTTTTTTATTGCTATTTTTTTTCTAGAGGTACTTGTTAGGGATCAACCAGGTGCATCATACCTGCAGTCCCTCCCATCACTTAAGAACCTGAGGGGGGGGGCTGTCGTGAGATTGAGGCTAGCTGGGGTTACACAGTTAGACCATTTCAAATAAAAAAAATAAGAGAAGAAGAAGAAACTCCTTTAAAAGTGAGCCATGGTTCCTCAAAGATGAGGCAGGTTGAGGCCCTGATTGGTTCAGAGATTCGGCTCAATATCAAATGGAGCATTTTATATTTTAGTCCCGCGGCACCTTGACTCCCTCAGTCCCTTTCACATCATCAGCAAACCAAAACCTTTGTCTAGGCACCTTGATTTTTCTAAGTGTGTGAAAGGAAGGCGTTTTCTAGAAGCAGATTTCCATCTGTCCTGTTTGCTATACTGCTAGAGAGGCCTGTTTCTCTTCCACCTGCAAACAAAAGATAGAGGCGAGTCATCTCTTAGCTGAGCCAAGCTGCTAAGACTACACCAGACCAGCTGCTCTAGAAGAAGCAGGGAACCTGTAGTGATGCTTTGTTTATGTTTTAACAAATAAAGCTTGCCTGAAGATCAGAGTGCAGAGCTAAGCCGCTAGAGCCCAGGGAGTGGTGGCACCCACCTTTAATCCCAGGACTCAGGAGACAGAGGCAGAGGGGTCTCTGTTGGTTGGATAGTTAGTTAGTTAGTTAGTTAGTAAGTTAGTTAGCACTAGGGAGGTGGAGACAAGAGTGATATGGCTGGGTGGAGAGAGGAATATAAGGCAGGAGGAGACTGAAGTTCATGGCAGCGTGAGGTTTGGTGGAGATAGTTGTGGTCTTAGGATCACCCCTGCAGTCTGAGGATGCAGTCTGGGGAGACAGCCTGAGGACAGGATTGCCCCTTCGATCTGAGCATTGGTAGAGCTAAATGGTCTCTCTAGTGGCTGGCTGCACTGCTTCTCTGTTCCTTCAGCTTTCAACCCCTAATATCTGACTTCGGGTTTTATTTCTTAAGACCAGTTAGAATGTGTGCTACAGAAACCAGCTGAGCTACCTGGCAGCTGTTTAGAGGAGCTGGAAAGGCCAGCTTGCATCGAGCAGGCTGTGCAGTGTGCCGTAGCCCATGTCTGTGAGCTGTCACCCATGCTGGAGTGGACTTGGTGATGCAGCTGTCTTTGAGTCATTTTTGCTCCTGCAGGTAACCATTTTTGCACCCATATTACTATAACTCCATTAAAACTCAGTGGTTCACCAAGTTGGACTTCGGTGCTATCCGTACTTTGGTCTGTCTTGGACTTCCTGTCTGGAGTAAGCAGATGTCTATGTTGAGTCTTCCCATGAAAACTCTTGTCACAGGGACTCTTCATCTTCCCAGTCTTTTTTTTTTAATATTTATTTATTTATTATGTATACAATATTCTTTCTCTGTTATGCCCACAGGCCAGAAGGGGGCACCAGACTCCTTTACAGATGGTTGTGAGTCACCATGTGGTTGCTGGGAATCGAACTCAGGACCTTTGGAAGAGCAGGCAGTGCTCTTAACCACTGAGCCATCTCTCCAGCCCCCATCTTCCCAGTCTTCCCTTTGTGTTAGCTTTTAGCTTCAAACTGGAGGTTTTCTGATCACAAGAGGGCTGCCACAACTCCAGACATCACATCCTCCATATGATAGCATTTTAAATAAGGGTGGTGGGGGGAGGAAGGCTTCTCATCTCCTTAAATGTCATGGACCAGGATTGAGGTAAACAGTCAAAAGCAAATAGTTAGCATTTTCAGCCCCTTTGATAGGGAACTGGACAAGCCTGATAAGGCTGGAAGTGGTTGTTAAGTCCGCATGTGACAGTGTTGGTTACAATGTTACAAAACCGAAAGAGGCTGCACACAAAGAAAGCCCACAATCAGCATGGAGCACCATCCCTTAGTGGTCACAAACACTTGAGAATGTCTCTTTTAATACCAATAGTATAGGACTGATTTTATTTTACTCCATTTCAACAATGTGTGTTTTTTTTTTTAAGATTATATATATAGTGTTCTGCCTGCATGTATGCTTGCATGCCACAAGAGGGCACCAGATCTCGTTATAGATGATTGTGAGCCATCATATGGTTGTTGGGAATTGAACTCAGAGCCTCTGGAAGAGCAGCCTGTGCCCTTAACTTCTGAGCCATCACTCCAGCCCTTTCAAAAGTGTTTTTTTTTTACTAGATCTTTAATTACTTGTTTAAGATTTATTTTTATTTTATGTGTTTGAATTCAGTTTTGCATGCATGTTATATGCAACAGGTGTGTGCATTTCCAGCGGAGGCCAGAAGAAGGTGATGCCACCACGTGGGTGCTGAGACCCACACCCAGATCTTCTGCAAAAGCAGTGAATGTTCTTAATTTCTGAGCTATCTGTCCAGCCCCATTTCTTGAACTGGTTTTCGAAATCACATGACCAGTTTTCTAGAATTTTACTATAATTCTGAATTAACTTGGATGCTTGAAGAGGGAGGGGGAAAGTTCACATACACATTTGGGTATTTTTTCAAAACTTCACACAGTTATATGTCCTCATCTTTGATGTATTGTTTTAACCCAAGAACTGGGAGGTTCTCTTCTGCTCAGAGAGAGCAGGGAGTCGTTTCCTCACCTCAGTTGCCGTGTGTGTAAAGGTGTGCACACCTGCCCACCATTCCTCTCCTGTGCTTGTATTGAGTACTCCCCCGTAGAGACACAGAAAGAAAAGTTGGTCTCTTACCAAGGCACTAATCTCATCAGGTGTCCACATCGTAATCAAGGCCTGATTTCTTTGCAAAGCCCCACCTCGCAGAGTCATCCGAGACTCAGGCGTCAACATGACCAACACCACAGTTCTCAAATTTCTAGAATAATGGTGGTGGTGATGCAAGGAATATGGAGAGCTTGGAGGCATTGTGTTCCTGGCACAGCTCTCGAGTCCACATGTTCACCTCATTCATCACACCCTGGTAAGGAATGTACTGGAATCATCTCTACCTCCCAGGTGAGGGCACAGAGGCATAGAAAACCGAAGGAACTCCTCTGTCCCAAACACCTAGCCCAGAAATAGTGACTGCTCCAAACACGCTATTGTCAGAAAATCAACACCACCCTCAGTGAGGATCAACTGAAGTCTAAGATGAAAATGTTCTGTAAACAGGAAAACCCTGAGCCTGCCTAGAAACCATTGTGCAGTCTGTGTGCAACAGCTGAATCATTCACTGTGGCTGTAATTATGTTTGCACAACTGCCCAGGTGAACACATTTCCCTTCGAGTGCTCCAGAGCAACCAACCAGCCAGGGTCCCAAGACAGACAGACAGACAGACAGACTAAGGCCCAGACAATAAACAGCCTAAAAAATAAGCTTCTCCTTGGAACAGATAGACTGCAGACCACACTGTGGCAAGAAGTCAAAGAGTACAGATTGTCCCTGGGGGAGTACTCCACATTCATGTCCCAAAGGAAGTGGCAACGTTCATATTTTTATTTAGGGGTCTTCATACCCATGGGTTGATATAAGCATGGGTCCTTCTGTTGAGGCCTTAGTTAGAGTCCTTTAAGCCTAGGCCTGCTGTTTGATCTCATTGTCGTCTCTGATGTCATTGTTCATTGTGTCATGGCATTCTCAATCACCTAAGTGAACCATCTGTAGCACTGAATGAATGAATGAATAATCTTCATGCTTATAAAGATTTATAATGAAAACGAGCATGCAAGATAAGAAATTTGAGGCCAGCCTGGTTCACAGAGCAAGTTCAAGGACAGCCAAATTTGGGCAGTTAAGGAAACCATTGAAAACAGAAAGCTGGTGAAGATGTCTTCTTTCTAAGAATTACCAAGGTCATGGTGTCTCTTTACAACAATAGAAACCCTAAGACATATGTATATGTGTGTTGTACGTATTTATATGCATGTTCATGAATGTGTAGGAACATAAGTATACACACACATGTATATTCATGCCCCAGGATGATGTCAGACATCTTTTTCAATTGCTCTCCATCTTACTTGCTGAGGCAGTTGAACCCAGAACTCACTTACACATTGGGTTCTGGGGAATCCAAACTCACTTATCTATGGTGCCATCTCTCCATCGTGGGCATCCGCATGGGGTCTTCCCTGGAGTAACTCAGTGAGGGAGTCCAGATTCAGGGCAGGAAGGTTCTGGTTAGCCACCCAGGGAGCCCAAACCACGCACACCAAAAGAAAATCCTCAAGGGAGTCCCTGCTTATCCCTCTAATCCAGGACTGACCCAGGTAGGCAATTCAAGGGACTCTGATTCTCTCCAGCCAGGAGAGAGCCTCCTTAGACTCAACCCGGTTGCACTTCTGTTCCTAAGTACCTCAAGAAAAGAGGGTACTAAGAGCTCAAACCCTAAGCTCAGAGCATGGAAGATAGAGAGTGGAAGGCAGTGTGTGTCACCTCGGGCTCTCTGGTCCTCTCTGTTGCCTCAGTTCCTATAAAAGGAAGCAACAATCTAGTGGTCCTGCCCAGCCCACTGCTTTCTAGACTCAG